TTTTTTTTTTTGGGGGGGGGGGGTTTATCGAAGTTTTTGCAACTGTGTCAGTCCAACAATATCAGTTGCTCATTTTTTTGGTGTTTTTTGTTTTCTTGTTTCTTGGGCTCCTGGGAGAAATTTTCACCCTGACAAACATCCATTGGCACAGCTTTCACTCCTCCACATTTCATATTGATGTCTTCATTGAGTTACTGATTTTGGCTACTGAGCCACCAGAGAAAATGTACAGTAAAAACAGCTCTATCACCCACCTCTTCAGGCACTCCATTGGATTGATGTTTTATTGGTATGCCCAGGTTTTGGTTCCTCATGTTTAAAGGTGTGGCTCTTGTTCTTCAAATCTGGAATCACTAAAAGTGATATCTAACATAAAACATATATTTTTCAAAAATGGATTGTTTAAGCAACACTTTGTTGTACAAATAATATGTTCGTCTCAAAGTGTTTGCTCCTTCAAAAAGGCAATGTTGTACCCCTCACGACAAGATTCCTCTAAAGAAGAATGTTGTTTTCCTTTGGAAGAAGCAAATACTATTTTGTAGAATGCCACATTATTCTTCTTGCCAACTCTTGCATGCCACAAATACAGCATTTCTTGAAGAAATGTTGGTATTCCTTTGAACAATCATGTTCACTTTAAATTTGAAAGGCTCTATTTTTCATTGTGCAATGTAATAGGTTGAACGAAGCAACATTCTTGTAGTCATGCATTATATCTTGAAAACACTGGTCTAAGATGTACTAGTCTTTCAAACAACATGTATGGTTGAAATATACAATATGTTCAACGCGATTCCTTCCTCCTCCCACTAGTCAGACATCACTCCTACAAAAATGAACAATATGCCATTCAAAGCAATTGTGCAGAGCATGCAACAAATCTTTCAAACATGTGCTTGTATTTTTACATTTTCACAAAGGTACAGTACACAATTCACTGCAGAACTGCAGAAAGCAGGGTTGTCTTCAAGATGCATGATCTTCTCAAAAAAAAACTTGTTCAAGATACAGCAGTCTTTCGGAAAGTACATTTCTCAAGTTTCAGTTGCGCTTTCATGCACAAAGTCAGTGTGTACTTTTTTCCAACAAGGCAGCGCTTTTCAGGCAAAATATAGATGATGCCTGGAAAAGGTCTAGATTCAATCGTAATTAAACCATCTTTTGAAGAAGTGCATGTTCAATCTGGTCATGTTCTTTTTTGAAGAGCACTCATGAACAGCATGAAAGGATGCAGAACACGTTTCAGAAAGTGCAGAATTTGACGCTGAACATTGCAATCATGTATGTTCAATATCAAATACATAATTATCGAGAAACATAAACTATTGTGAAAAAACAACAATAAATTGTCAAATAGTGTGTATATATATATATTGGTAATATGTACAACAATATAATGCAGCATTCATTGCAGGCATCAACATCATTGTATATAGACATTTTTTCTTTTCCAAAATGCTAAACAAAAAGAGACTCAACAAAAAATAAAGCATTCTTGGAAAGAGACAACATCTCTGTAGAAAATGTAGTATTCTGGACAGTCGTGATTTGTGGCTTCATGTGCAAACAATTTCCATCTTAAAAAAAAAACTGCAAAATCAATGCTTTCACCACTCCACCCCCCACGGTAGTCCGCTGTCATAATTTAATATCTATATTAATATAATTTAATATCTATGTATTAACATAATTTAATATCTATATATATATATATATATTAATAAAATTTAATATAAATATATCTCTATATACAGTATAGAGAGAGAGACGTATGGGGATGGGTCAAAACCTGTTTTTACCACAGTTCAAGACAACCATCCATTGGTTTCCACCACGCCTCCTAGGCCACCGGCACCTCTCAGGTGATTTGGATGGGACAAAATGAAAAAGTTTATGGATAGACAGGGGTTTAACAATCAAAAATTGACATTTAAGAATCAACAATTGGCATTTAACAATCAAAAAATGGGATTTACCCTTTAAAGGCACCTTTGTCAGGAACATGATATAATTATATTATAATTATCATTATTATTAAGTATTATTGTCATATATATTGGTACATTCATGATCATTCATGTATATAATTTCCATGCATTTCTTGGCTGTGTTTATGGCGGCAACAACTAAGTCCGGAAACTATCAGCCATAGTATCCGGGTCCATGTTCAACCCCAAACCTAGGATTTATCATTGAAATTAAATTCATTAAATACTTCCCAAAAATGTATTTTTTCTTTTCAAAAACGGGTCAAGGTGATTTTGGGATGACTCCCCAAAATCACAAGAATTGATGGTGACGTCATGATGAGGTTCTTGCATTTTGCTTTGTACTGAAGGGTTTAGATTTTACAGTGAATATCAGGGTTTAGAATGTTGAAACTTAGACTTAAAACTTAAAACCCAATAAATTTGTGGCAAACAAACGTGGAAATTCTAACCAGCACAAATGGGAGATCACCAACCACTCTCCTGCACCTTAGCCATTTTCGGCTTGACTCCAAGTTCACTCAACAAGGACTGTGGCCCTGATTTCCTTCATGATTTGTTCAGCCATGTGTTTGGGGCATACCCCCTTACATAGCCCTTCTACAGTAATATTTATATGCTAGGTCAGGCACCTCCAATTTCAGGTACCATGGCGACATTTGGGGTCTTTCACCACCCTTGCCGCACCCCGACCTGAACCTGCGCCAAAACCAAAGGCTGCAGGACCAGCTGCGGCAATCCTCAACGGCACATCCATGGCTTGCGCTGGCTGCGGCTGGATGTTGCCAGAATTTGCAAAGTGGGTAGGAAGTGTTTATAACTTGGTTATAACCCCTTATATTATAACTGGTATGTCTTGGGATAACATCTGAGCGTAGAGTGATTTATATATATATATTATATATACAGTAGATAATCCCTTCTTCCTATTGCTAAAACTCCGCAAAATAAAAACAAAAAAGATTGGTTTGGCACTTCCGTTTTTTTTTGGTTGGTTACAATTGGATTCGTATTTGTGGTAATTGAGAATCAATAGGAGAACAGGATGGTGAAACAATGTGTTCAACCCCCTATGAATAAAAACAGAAAGGTCCCTGGAGTTTTTTATTAGGGTCCCATCTCACAAGTTTTACTTGTTATCTTATTATTATTGAGGTTTTCATTGGAATATTAGGGGAAAGCTTCGGAATCCAGTTTTTGGCAATATTTTAAATAGATTTAAATAAGGGATTTAATCAAATTTGAAATCAAGTTTGTTTATTATTATTACGGTTTTCATCGGAATATTAGGGGCACCCTAATACAAAATACATCAAAATGCCCTCTATATAATAATAAAAATAGATCACCGTGTTTACCATTTGGGGGGGTTAGGAATAGGGAAAGAGGACTATACTGCAGGAAATCAGTGTTGTGATTTCAATATGTCAATGTGTTCGTTGCACTCTGAACAGGAATCCAAAGTTTGGGAGGCATTTCATTCACAGTGCAAAATGCTCATCCAGAGGGGTAAAAACCGTTATATAGATGTGTCATGATTCGAACTGGTACAGTAGCTGCAATCCTTCTCGGTCAGATTGCAGGGGAACATGTACTGAGTCAAGCTGAGTTACTATTCATGGCAACAACATGCTGCAACCTAAAACATCAAAATCAATCCTCCAACCCCGAACGGGTCGACCAGGCACTGCGAATAACGTTGTTGGACAGCACGCATGACTTGTTGTTGCTGGCCAGCTCGTGAGTAAGGCCCTCGCTTGAAACAGCTTTGATCAGCTTTGACACTGTGCATTTTGTGTTCTTTTCTGCATGATGACCTGAATGATGCGGAAAACAACCAACGTTTTCCTTTTCAAATCCCTCCAAACTTGGGAAAGAAGGCAACGTCATGCAACATCCACCAGCTTTCAACCGCAGTGACCCCGCCTGGGCCCAAGTCCTTCGAAACGTTCCCGCAGGGTTCGCAGGTGTAGCCCGGGGGCAAGGGATCGGGGCATTTGCCTCTGTGGCACCCAGGAGCTGGAAGCTTCATCTTCTGAGCGCGGAGAGAAAGACAGAAAATTGGAGGATTCTGGCAAAAATAATGGACTTCAGTGGATTGGTTTTAGGGAAAATATGTACCAAACCCTGGGTCTTATACCATGCAGAACTGGGTTATATATAAGTTTTAACTATGCTTACCACTTTGATGGGTCATGGAGTGAGTGAACTGCTGATCCTCAGTGGGATATACGCCGTTTTCACTGGGCTTACTCGGTTGTAAGGGCATGATATGACCCAATTATGACCGAATCAAATATCTCCATAGCCCATCTAAGCATGCAGTCCCAGAAATGTTGATAAATCTGGAATCACACCAAATCCTGGGGGTTCTTCTTTGGTTTGGATTTGTTTGGATGGTAAATAATACACATATGTCCAAATGTTCACTAAGCTCACTTGCCTTGGATCGCCAACATCTGATTTTCAAGGCTCAAAAAATCTAGGTAAAAGAAGAACGCAAACGGCAATATATGTGTATATATATATATATATTCATAACATGTTATATATAATATATATTATATATATATAGAGTATAGAGTTTAATATGTTATGTATATATATATATCTCATACAATTACCGTTTGAGGCTCTAGAGAACTCTGATCTGCTTCCAGGCTATGCGTCTTAGCTGCACCCCGGCGCTTGTAGGTCCCAGCTGGGATGGACCGTAACAAAACTTGTTGACCGTCGATTTTCCTATGAAGATGGCAATGTTGTGGGGAATGTCATGATAACAAAGTACCCTCTGGTAATTTAACATAGCTATTGAACATGGCCATTTATAGTAGATTTTCCCATTAAAAATGGTGATTTTCGATAGTTACGTTAGTTTACCAGAGGGTAACGTCCGTAAAACAATGCCATAAACCAGCCATTTTCCTGGGAATGGTAAGCATACCACCAACCAAAAAATGGTGATGACTGGGGGATGGTTT